CATTAAATTCCAGTGAAATATATTTATGTTTGTGGTTGTAATGTGACAAAATATGGAAAAGTTCAAGGGGTATGAATACTTTTGCAAACCACTGTAGCTGAGGATCAGTGGTTAGAGAAACCCTCTTCCAATAAGAGTCGGAGGTTTGATTCCACCAGCCTTAAGTGTCACACTGAACCTCTCACTTCCTCCATTGCCTCATTAGTGTGTGAATCATCCACTGAGCAGATTTTATAAAATGATTTGAAATGAGGGTATGAAAGTGTGGGAGGGGGTCACAGATGGTGTAAGAAAACATTAAACCTCATAAGTAAAAAAACAAATACATAAGTTTGTAACATTTACTAGACCGTTCAGAATAATTTTTACTGTAGCACAGTGGTGTCCAAAGTCAGTCCTCAAGGGCCGGTATTCTGCATGTTTTGGGAGCTGCCATGGTTCAACACAGCTGAATCTAAGGAGTGCTTAATTAGTGGGGGAGAACGGGGTTGGTTGTCACACTTTTTACTTTCATCTAAATAAAAAAGGAATGCTATGCTTAGTCACTCTAATTTCAATGTGTAATAGAACCCCAAAGTGTCTTTTTGAAATAGAAGAAACATACAGTATCCTTCTCAGGAGGATTTATTTAAAAAGATATGCACAAACATGACTTGTGCATTTGTGACAACCAACCCCATCGTGGGTTTGGTTGTCACAATTATATTTCAATGAGAAAAAAATTAGAAAAAGGCTTTTAAAAAACATTACTTTTAATACATTTTTTAATTTGCAATGTTTAATTTAATATCTTAGTTGATAAAAAACATTTTATATAGGTAACAACATCTTATTTGCCATAAACTGATAGGATTTGTTAAAAATTTGAATAAAAAACAGATTCAAGTTGTCTGCATCTGAACAGAGAAGGGCCTATCCATTTCATTCAGTCATTGTCTGCATCACAGTTCTGACAGATGTAAAGAGGCTGTCCTGGTCTATCTTACAGGCACCAATGGGCCAATTTCATCCCAAGAAACCTCTGATGGACTTCTTGTTTGTAGTATCTTGCCAGTGTTTGATAATTGATATTAAAGTCCTTTGCTGTACTTCAGATAGATTTGTGCAGCAGTTTCACGGTGCAGACTGCCCTGAGCATCACGTCGGGTGGTGTCTGGTCATAGCTGGTCATGTGACAACAACCCCGAAGAGGATCTGACAACCAATCCCATCAGGAATTTTTTTGCCAGCAGTTGTGCTAGCAAGCACATGTCTAGCAAAGAAAAATAACATTCTAACGTAGCTCTGCCTTTTAACTTTCAAATGCCAATAGGTGTTCAATAGGCAATAGCCAATAGGCAATTCAAAATAATCACAAAAATAATCAAAAGTTACATTATGATGTGAAAAACACAACAAGTCCTCTCATCTCATTGAAAGATGTCACACTGCTAAAATAAAATCGTAGGTAGTCTGTGACAACTATTTTGGAAACTCACAAAATTTTGTAATAGCGCTTTCTAGGCGAAAAAATTTAGCAGCTGTGACAACCAACCCTGTTCTCCCCTAGGCTTCTGCAGACCTTGATGGCATGATTAGGAGGACTACTATTTAAGCACTCCTTAGGTTAAGCTGTGTTGAACCAGGGCAGCTCCTAAAACATGCAGGACACCGGTCATTGAGGACTGACTTTGGACACCACTGCTGTAGCACAATGCTTACTGTAAAACATATTTATAAATGGAAAAATAAATGTGATCAAACACTTTTTTCTTTCCTTCTTGGCTGTTTTAGAAAAGGTAAGACAATCTAATAATCTGACAGCAGCTAATTAACACAGCAGTAGTTTGGTGAGCACTGATGCGTGCAATAAACATAATAGGTTTTCTGTGTTTTAGACATGTTTTCAATCGTTTGAAATGGGAAAAGAAAGCGTGGCATTAACACTAGTGAATTTGTGATCCTTTGGATTTCAAAGCCATGTCCTTTAAAAAGTGGAGCTCTGAAATCAGGTTTTACAGCTTAACTCAACACTGGGCCCAAAGATTATTTAAACACAAATCTACTTTCTGATTATTTCTTAATTAAGTTTGCATTTGGAAACGATAGTGCCAACTTACCAAAAACAAGCACAATGATGAATCAGTTTGGCTGCTTTGTTTTATATTCTGAGCTTGTGGGTGTAAAAATGAGTTTTGTTCTGGTGCAGAGCAAAGAAAGTTCAAGGTTCATTAGAGCTGGACAGAAATGTCATTTACTAAAACAACAACAGTTCCAAATCTGTAACTGTGCATCATCTTAGTCTCAGGGAAATAAATAACAGATAAGTGATATTTTATTGCAGCTGAAAACAAAGCAGTTTTTACTACTGACAATTTGTGAGAGTGATGAAGTTGCTGTTTCAATTTTTGTTTGTTATTTGGTGAAATATTACATAGTTGCAGTTGTATTGGCTTGTCAAAGTCCCAGAGGTCAAATAATTAAAAAAATCACAAAAATCAATAGATTAACATCTTATTGCCTGCAGTTATCTAACCCTCCTGCTGCTCGTGGGTCAAAGTGGATCATTTTGACCCGAGGGCAGTGGGAGGGTTAAACTGTGTTGTTGTTGTTTTTTTACTTTTATATCTTTAAAATAGGTTTGACTCAGTGAAATTAAAAACATCACAGCATACTGTATATGCCATATTACTCCCCAGTTTTAAAAAAAAATTCCCTTTTTTTCTACAAGCATCAAAAGAAGCTTTGTCAAACAGATTTCTCATTTTACATTTGTTGTGTTTGTTTTCCTGACATTTTCAGCTGCAAAGAGACGAGGTAATGCAGACTCAATGTTTGTTCAGGTTTGAGAAGCAGGCAGCAAAGTGAATAAAGTATTAAAGTTTTAACATTTCTTAATGGAATATCTGTTATCAAATGTCCCTCCTAGTTTTAAAGGACAGACAAAGCTGATTTTTTTTGGTCAAACTCTTAAAAGTAGAATTGTTTTTAAGATTTTACATGATATTTTTTAAGCTTGGGTTATTAATGAGCTTACACTTCTACCTAGCTAAATTTGAGCTCAATAGCAACTTTTAGTGTTTTCTAATAATAATGAACTATTTGGTCACCTTTATTTTCAGGTGTTCACTGCTTAGAAGAACTGTGGTGAGGCAAAGAACCACAGCTCGTTTTTTAGAGTTCAAACATGAAAACACTGGACATGCTTTTACATGTGTGACTCATGCATGTGCAGTGTGAGAGCCCCCTCAGGGCCTCGGCAGCTGTCAGCAGGGGATGCATGATGACACGGGTCAGGATTCATGACGGGTCTCTGATTGTAGGAAATGCATGTTAGTTGATAGATAATGGTTGTGTTAACAGTCAAGAATCTGTAATGTTACTTTAGTAGCCTGTGCACAGTTAGAAATATTTCCTGGTTCTTGGTTCTTTTCATACACAGGATTAGCACAACCTGGCTTCTTACAGGATGTATGTTTCTACTGTAGGTGGAAGAGGTGCACAAATGGCTCTATGCTCTGAGGTTTGTGCTTCAGGCTCAGGAGGAGACTCCTCTGGCAGCGAGGTGAGCTGTAAAACATTTTTTATTTTCTTCTGGAACAAAACTTGTCTAATGTTTTAATAATGTCAAAGTGCACAGCATTTCTAAAACTATAAAATTATCATAAAGTAAGCTAGGGGGCTGTTGTTGGTTCCCTTCCATGTTATTTGGTTTCAGAACATTTAGAAGAGACTATAAATAAACCAATTATTTTTGTGATGTTTATGTTTAAAGTGCCTGTGACATGTCTGTCCTTCAAATACAAAAACTCAAAGAAAACATCTTTGTTCTTATGAAAATTGACATGATGCACATGATTTTACACATTTTGTCTCATAACTGGCCTACTGTCTTTTGAATTTGGTTCAGCCAATGTGAAACAGGAAGTGACATGAAAGGGGAACTCTTTAATAAAATTAACTCTCTTGTTTTTGTTTATTAAAACAATATTGTTTAAACTTTAACTCTTCCTCATCTCTCTTTGATAGAAACTCAAAATAATGTAAAAAAACATCAGATTCTTCACAGTCTCTGTTGTTAGCTGTTGTAACATTGCTCTGTTTACATGCAGACATTCCCCTTTGACATCACTTCCTGTTTCTTCAAATGCAAATATCTCAACAACTGTTCATCTCAGCAGTGTGAAATTTGTTTTGCAATATTTTATCGATGTTATCTTTGCAAAAATGCATTCAGGTTTATTACAAAAAAATTATGTCACAGGCACTTTAAGATGATTCATCCTTGTGAGGGCAAAGACAATGTGTCCAAACTTTAAAGCTCACTTATTGAAGTAAATTCACATCTTTTTCACTTGATTCTGATTTTATTGAAAAGTTCTTTAAACTTCAGACTTTAAAATGAACGTAATCTGAAGGAGAATGACCAAGAACTTTTTCAGCCATGTTGATTGTCTGCATGCACATCACTTACATCCAAAATTTACAAATGTTTCTTATGAATACACAGCTCATTCTCTGCACACACTCAGTTCATGTTCTGACAGTAACACCCACATTTTAATATAGTTTGTCAACAAAATACACACACCATACTTGGAACTGATTCAGCTAATATAAGTCTTGATACAAATCTATTTTTACATTGTTTACTTTTTTAATTATAAGAGTTATTATGGATGTTGATCTTTGTTTGAAAGCAGAATACATTAAAACAAATTTACCTGTTGTTCGCTTTAATCCCAATGTCCTTCCAGGGGGGGTCCAGCTGTCTTCAGTTTGGGGTCCGTTCCTACCTGCATCACTTCTATGAGGAATGCTCGTCCTCCATGTGGGACAGAGACCCGGAGAATCTGGGGTTGGCTCAGAGCCAGAGGTCAGCCCTGTGGTGGAACTCAGCAGTCTGGAAGGTAAAGTTACTAATGGTGTTTTGAGAAAAGCAGCTTATATTTTATATTTATTATTTCACACTTTTTGACCACAACTAGTAGTGAAGATACTGAAGAGTCATCAGAGCTTAGCCAGGTGGTGGTAGTTTTTTTTTTTTTTTAATAAATGGACTCTGATGCTAATGGTCCAATGTGGTCCTTTGGCTTTTTTTAATCACCATTCTACCTCCATAGATTTTCCATTGTTTTGTAGAATTTTTTGTGGTTTGTCTTTTTAGTGTCTGAATCAAACCAGGATGTCATCTGCATAAAGTATCTGTATATTTAGAAAGTCTGCTTCAAATTTTTCTAAAACAAAGATATGTCGCCAGATTTGTTGATATTTGGGATCAGCTTCATAATTTTCACCTGCTCACTGCTGCATGTTTGGTTTGTGCATGCAAATATTAACTACAGGATCAAGAACAAACATAAATTCTGAATACCTTTGCTATTAGTTGAGCAAAACAAAGGTCCATCCATCCAACCATCCATCCACTTTCTTCCACTTATCTGGGGTCGGGTCGCAGGGGCAGCAGCTTAACCAGAGAGACCCAGACTTCCCTCTCCCCAGCCACTTGGGCCAGCGCCTCTGTGGGAAGCCCAAGGCGTTCCCAGGCCAGGCGAGAGACAAAGTCCCTCCAGTGTGTCCTGGGTCTTCCTCTGGGCCTCCTCAGTAGGACATGCCCGGAACACCTCACCAGGGAAGCGTCCAGGAGACATCCTAACCAGATGCCTGAGCCAGCTCAACTGGCACCGCTCGATGTGGAGGAGCAGCGGCTCTACTCTGAGTCCCTCCCAGATGAGGGTGAGAAGCTCGGTCAAAACAAAGTTGTGATATAGTAAATAATCTGCAAAATCGACTTTAAGTTTTAAGTCAAGTTACGTCATTCATCAAAAATATACCCAGAATGTTTTTTTTTACTCATTCGTACATGTTTGTGAAATCCTTGGATCTCCTGTGGCCATGTGGAACTGCCTAAATGCTTGCTGGTGCAAAGCCCCACCTTTTTACACAAAGCTCCTCCCTGGAGCTCAGTTTGCAGCTGAGCTCTTGTCCCACAGAGCACCCCTCCCCCAAAGCATTGTTGTGAAGACGTGTTGAAGTGAAAGTGTCTGAAAGGGTAGGAGGTTTTTAAAGACAGACAAATTTCAAGATGTTTAGATTCTTATATATATATATAT